AAAAAAAAAAAAAAAAAAACCATATTCTGGCCTTCTGGGAGTAGATCATCATGTGGTGGAATAAGTTGTAGAATTGTATTTCTGAATTGTTAACAGTTATCCTGTTTTGTTAATTTATTTAGGTCCGAAGCCATTAAAAAGGCAAATGGAGTTCATTTCTCTGAGGAGGTTGTCCTTTGACATGTTTTCATGCTCATATTGCTTACTTTCTTTTTCCCCCCATAAAATCATTATGAACAATGTTAATTTATGTGTACTCTATGGAATCCAAATCATATACAGAAGCTCTGCAAGTGGCTGGTTCAACTGTTGATGGCACTTGATTATTTGCACACCAACTATATTCTTCATCGTGATGTCAAGGTATATATTATGCCGCCCTTCCAACCTATTAAGACTTAAAAGCATTGAATAATACATATTAAAGGCCCCATTACTTTCTTTTCAGTGTTCGAACATATTTCTGACTAAAGATCAGGACATTCGTTTAGGTAACCATTTTTATTTTTTCCTTTAAGATCTCCCAATATTTGATGAGATGGCATGTAGCTTACTTCGACCTCTATCTCTGAACTGGCTTCTTTATTGTTAACCTTTTTCAGGGGATTTTGGTCTTGCTAAAATACTGACTTCTGATGATCTAGCTTCTTCTGTGAGTATAATAGTTACTGGCCGTCAGCTTGTTTGGATTTCCATGTTTTCATAATTAAGTTCAATTTGTTTATATCTAATATATGACAGGTGGTGGGCACACCAAGTTACATGTGCCCTGAGCTTCTTGCTGATATACCTTATGGTTCAAAGTCGGACATCTGGTCCTTGGGTAAATTTCTAAATATCATCTTTTCATTTTTTCTACTTTTTTTTCTTTCGTACGGTTTTATGTTCGCTTTCAAACTTTCAATACGCTCTATCCAGGATGCTGCATTTATGAAATGGCTGCTCACAAGCCTGCATTTAAAGCCTTTGTAAGTAAAAGCCTCCATAGTCTATTTCAGTCTAGACTTTCATCCATTCAAATTGATAAGTTTTGCTATGAAGCAAACAGTTGGCTCCATAGTGGAGCCAACCTTCTATATACAAGTAAACCATACCATATTTTCTGATTACTTAAATATATACTAATAATTTTATTATCATGGTATGGTTTACTTGTTGTATTGGCTCCACTATGGAGCCAATTGTTGGTTTCATAGCAAAACTGTCGAACATATACATATTGGTTTACTTTCGAAAATCTTGTGCGAATGCAAAATATGTTAAGTCATTTATAAGGACCCAATTGATAATCTGTTCAAAAAACTAACAAGACTGCCCACATCAGAAAGGCTTGTGAAAATGGAAGTTATATTGTTTTTTGTTGTACACGGGCCTTTTTTTTTTTAAATCCCCTGATGTTTCAGTTTGGCTCCATGAACAGGATATACAAGGTTTGATCAACAAAATAAATAAATCCATAGTAGCTCCACTTCCAGCTATGTATTCTGGTCCCTTGTAAGTCTGCGAACTTCGGTTTTATTCAAGTCTGCAATATCTGCATCTGTAACTTATTTTTGTCGATAACTCTCTTCACTTCACTAACTCGTGTCTTTCATTTCCCAGCCGTGGACTCGTCAAGAGTATGCTTCGCAAAAATCCCGAGATTAGGCCAAGTGTATGATCCGTTTGTTTTTCTAGATTATTTTTATATGGTACATTTTACTCCTTTCATTTTTTATTTCACGTCATCTTTTTTCTTATTTTTTTTTTATCTCCAGGCTGCAGACTTGCTGAAACATCCACACCTCCGGCCCTATGTACTAAATGTTCATCTCAAGTCGAACAACCCCAGACGACACACTTTTCCCACTCTATCATCCGAACCAAATTTCGTCAAGAAAACAGCATTTACTGCAAACTCAGAAGCTGTCAAAAGAGAGAAAAGGTTATCGTTCGGCAACAACAGGGCTCTCAATCCAAGCATATCGGGAAATGACCTGGACACTCCTTGTTCCTCTGAAAGAGCTCACAAATCATTGAGCCATTCGAACGAGAAATTTTCAGACTTGTCTATTGGCAGTGTGGTTCAGGACATAAGCGTGAAGAAACCGGTGATGGCAAAGTTCTCAGGTGCCGCCGCCTTGAAAACCCCAAGAACTGTATCGGCCAAGGCTTACAATGCAAATCCCAGAAGACACTCATTGACACCATCCAGAATATCGAATCCTGGCTCAACCCGCGAATTGGTTCGTTTTCTGTTTCAAACAGTTGGTTATATGTCTTCGATTTTTTATTTCTTGAAAACTATGTGTTTTCTACAATGTTATCAAAACACAAAATGGGTTTAGGTACAAAAAGAAAAATATACCCTGAGGTTTGGTGCAATTATAAAAGAAAAATTTGAACTTTTCGATCCGGAGTTAATTACCTCATGGAAAAAAAACAAAGAGTTGATTACCAAGAAACAGCACTTACTTTTTTTTTTTTGCAGTTTTACAAGTCTCAAACTTTCAAAGTTCACAACCAAATATTCACACATAATCTCCGAAAAAACTAAATTGAATTCTATATATATATGTGCAGCTCCCGGTTTCTCACACTCCGGCCCGAAAGCCCTCCCTCCAGATGGCACGCCGGGCTTCCCTCCCTCTCTCTTCACGAGCCGCCCCACCATCCCCTTACAAGCCGTGCCCGGCCCTTCTCGGTGGGGCCGAGTCTCCTGACGTGTCGGTCAACGCCCCACGCATGGACAAGATGGTTGACACCTCGGTATCCGTGCAGTGCTCGTATAACGGCCGCTCGATCACCAAGGACAAGTTCACAGCCGTGTACAACGGTAGCGACTGTTCGGAGAACGACCGCTCGTCCTCCAACAACTCGCGCCTGAGGAAATTCAACACCCGTTCGTACCAGCAGCGGGCCGAGGCTTTGGAAGGTCTGCTCGAGTTTAGTGCACAGCTGCTTCAGCAGGAGAGGATCGATGAGCTGCAGGTGCTTCTGAGGCCGTTCGGGCCCGAGAAGGTGTCCCCTCGGGAGACTGCCATTTGGCTAACAAAGAGCTTCAAGGAGAATGTCGTGTGATGCGGGCCGGGCCGGGTTGTTGTAGATCTAATGGCTGACGGTTTTTTTTATTTACATAGGAACTTTTGGTGAATTTGTTGGTTTCTGTTGTTGGCTAATGTAGATGATGGATGAAGCTTTTTAGGTGAGGCTTTATGTACCATTTGATGATGAGACCCATTTTCTCAATCCAAATGTGCATGAAAGACTTGTTCATGGCAGAAGGTAGAAAAAGTAAAAGTTGTGTAACTTTTTAACTAGAATGAGCTCTTGTTGCTGATGGACTCTTTGTCTCAACTAGAGATAGTGTTGTTAAAGGAAACGAGCTGCTCATAAGCTCGGCTCGTTAAGGATCGAGTTTGGCTCAAACGAGCTGAGCTCGAGCACACTTAAAGATCGATTTGTTATCGAGTTGGTCTCGGCTTGGCTACCAATCGCCGACCAGATAACTTGTTTCTGTTGGCCCGTAAGCTCGCCCTTCTTAATAACGATGATCGGAAAATGGTTCTGAAGGTATAAATCGCCAAATCTCATACTCGTGCGTTTCTCCTTTCTTTTCTCTTTTTGTATTTTCACAATTTGGGGAGCAATGATAGAAATAGTGTCTTTGGCGATCCAAAATGAATTACGATCGAGATTCAAACATTAAGGATCAATTGTGGAAAATTTGGGGATCTAGGGTTTACATTTTGGGAATTAATGTTTCGTTTGATGCAAATTGGGGCTTTGTTCATGGGGAAATGCTACAGTACCACCACTCCGTCGGGTTTGTAACCGTTAGATCATCATGTAACCGTCGTATATAATTGATCTAACGGCTGCAAACCCCGACGGAATAGTTCCGTAACAAGACCGTAGCATCTTCCTTGTTCATGTTGGGAATTATTTTATGTTGGTTTTCATAGAGTCGAGCCATCCGATGGCTCTGTAGCAACACCGGGTTTTCATATATTTAAGATCAATACAACATTGCCTGTTTAAATATTTCGATGCATTTTGATTTCATCTTCAACAATATGATTATCATAACGAATCCAAGATGAAAATCCTCTCAAATTATATCTAAGTTGAGATCAAAATCAAAACCAATGAATCATATATCCATACTATGTAATGTTCCGTCTCTGTAGATCATCACAACTGGTTTTCACGATAAAAGAACAGAGTAAATTATTTAAACTTTTTATGAAAAAATAAAAAGGAAAATTTAAAAAGGGACAAAGCAATGAATGATTTCGAATTTTTTGAGGCAAAGGGAATAAAATTTGCAGAGATGCTTTGCATTAAATTGTCCCTTTCTGCAGATGCTTTAAGCAGAGATGAATTTTTCAGAGAAACACTGTGTGTGTGTGTGTGTGTGTTTTGTATTGAAGAAGATGATATCAGAAAAAAAGGGGTACACATATAAGGACACCTCCTCAGGCACGCCTTTTTTTTTTTTGCCTTCAGAATTTATATGCAAACAATTATATTTTAGGGAGATTCTACGATCTCGTTACGGAACCTTTCTGTCGGGATTTGTAACCGTTGGATCAACTATCCACGACGACGGTTATATGATGATCTTTACAAATCCTGACGGAATAGTTACGTAACGGGACCGTAGCATCTTCCCGAATTTTAATTTGAGCAGATATTTTTTTGTTTATTTATTTATTTATTTTTTAGAGTGTTTTATATAAGTTTGAAAGGTTTTATTTGGGGTCTGTGGTCGGGTTGTGATGTTGCCATTACAAAAAGACATCTCCAGGGGACAAACTTACCATTTGGCAGCCTGATTTATTTTGTCTTATTATCTGACATATTACACTCTGTGTCTCTTTGAATAATTTTTGTACTGTTTAACTCACATGGTGGAATTTTTTATTTTTTTTATTTTTATTTTTCTCTTATTACAATTAAGTTTATAGGTTTAAAGAGTTAAATCTTAATTGGATTCCTAGTTGATTATGTAAGGCCACACGTGTTTTTTTTTATCATTATAAAGTCTAAACTATAGATTTATCACTTGAAAATGGCACATGCACCTGATTGAGATTTGTATATCTATCTTGAAGTCTTGTTGATGTTGTGGTTTGTGAGATGAAAATAAATCATGTCCGGCGAACAACTCGTTTACGGTTATGGATTCGTTAAAACGAGGCGAACCTAGCCGAACTCGAGAATTAAAGAGCCTGATCCAAAAATGCTCGTGAATGCCCAATCGGGTCCACGAACAACTCGTTTTATTATAATTTCGAGATTGTTAGACAAACCGAACCAAGCCGAGCTTGTCTGGCTCATTTGTTAAACGAGTACGAATTTCTTGGCTTGCTCGAGTAACATCCCTAAATGTCGAATTAACTGAAATTTTGTTTTATCTTGTATGTTCTTGTTGTGCCATTGCTTCATAAATAAGCTTAAAATATCTCTGAATTTTGATTCCATTAGTCAAAAATATGGTTGATGAATGTTCAGGAGTTTGACAAAACAAGATTCACTACATCTGCAGAGTGACTTTTTGAAACACTTTGCATGTAATTAGTGGATTTTGATTCCACATCCAGAATTTATTCCATGCTGTCATTTAATTACAAAATAAATAAATAAATAAATAAATAAATAAATTTTTAGCTCCCTTATATGTGTCAAAAGTATCAGACTGTTGTATTAAGGATTTCAAAAAAGATGATAGATAAGAAAAGAAAAGAAAAGATGTGAAACTGATCAAAAATTTTGTGCTGATTGGAATCCCAATAGGCAAAATAAATAAATAAATAAATAAAATAAAATAAAATAATAGTTGTCAAAAACTTTTTTCTTCTTGAAAACCCAATCCCCAAAAAAGGAAAAGGAGCCACTAAAGGAGGAAGAGAAAATTTAAAAGGAAAAAGAGCAATGTGTTGTACTAAATACTACTTCACTTTTTTCTTGCCCTTTTTATTACTTGTTTTATTATTATTATGATATATGATGCAGTTTTCTCTATGAGATGTGTTTGGTACAGTTCGTGCAGTCATACCTCTTTATATGTTAATTCAAAACGTGTTGAGCTTAAGTGGCAGATTCTCACGCTTCAGATGTTGACATGACGAAAATCTATGTTTCGTAATGTTGTTTTTATATTATATTTGTTCTGGAGTTAAGTTTGATATTAGACATAAATAACTTTACACATACATTTATTAACTCAACACTCATATTGTATATGTGTATTAATACTAGTTTATGCTTAACTAAAGTGATCATTGGTTATATGCAAAGAATAAAGTGAATGCAAATGTATTAATGACAAGTAGTTGACAATTGAAAGGTTGCTGTGATTGCATGTATAGAAACTTGGCGTTGTAATAAATTTTAAGTTGTTTTGTTTGGTGAAGAAAGTTATTAGAATGTGATCAAATCTAAATAAGAAATTCAATTCAATGAACTTTCCTCATTTGGGGTGTTTCTTACGTTTGTGATTGGATATATATATTTTAAAAATAATATAATTAACTGAAATTGAAAATGAAACAAAACACTTTCATAAATAATAATGTCATAGTTTTTAAAGCCGGCCTGTTAATCGACTCGGGCAGGTCTTCGGGTCACTGGGCCACCGGTTCAACCGCCAGGTCACCGGGTCAATTGCTGAACTGGATAATTAATTTTAAAATTTATAAAATTATATATAGAGTATTTTGTGATATATAAATATACATAAAAATAACAAATTTAAATATTTTGTATGTAAAATTTCTAGATTAAAGTAGTAATAATATGTATATATTTATCATATAAATATATATATACATAATTTTATTTTTTAAAAAGAAAAAGAAAATTAAAAAACAAAAAAAAATAAAAAAATACATATAGACCGGGTCAACCGGGTTGAGCCAGCCGGGTCAATGCCCCGGGTTTACCGGGTTTTGACCGAGTCCGTTGTTGCCCGGTCCAATTAACCCACCCGGACCGGTTCCGGCTCCGGGTCGACCCGCCAGGCCGGTCCGGGTCACAAAACACTGAATAATATTATAATGTCGTTTTACTTTTCTTTGTAAAAATTTACTTACTCAATTAAGCTAAACCTAATTTGAAAGCTAGTTGATAGTTTATAAGTGAATATTTAGCTTTTATTGATTTATGTCTAAATATTGAAAAGCTAGATGATATAATAAGAGTTTGTAAAATGTTATAAATACATAATAAATGTACATAGATGTATACATAACAGTAGTCCCGCTCACCTGCCCACGGTGGACAGTGCCCACCACTTTATTTTACATGAAAAACGTATTCTCAGAATATGTTTTTCAATTAATTTAATTGAAAAGCGTATTTTTAGAATACGTTTTTCATGTAAAATAAAGTGGTGGGCTGTGGGCAAGGGATCAAAATTTTACATAACAGTCACACGGAATAGTTGATAAAATCAGCTGAAAGAAATTTTTCAACGATTTTTTTTTTTTTNNTTTTTGAAAAAAAAAAATTACCAAAAAACTTCTAAAGGCCAACTTTCTTAAAGAAACATAGTTCTACCAAAAAATATATATTTTTTAATATGATAAGCTTATATGATAACTGTATAAGTTACATGCTAGTTTATGAAGCTACAAGCTAGTTTATGATGCTTATAAAGCACACATGTAAAAAATAAAAATAAATATATATATATACAATTATATATTGTTTCAACATAAAGCATTATTCATCCGGAAAATGTTACAATCCTGCCACGGAATGTTTCCATGACAGTTTTTAGCTATTAGATAAACATGTAACTTCCATATATCTACAATAACTGTATATCTAATGGCTACAACCTCTCACGGAATCATTCCGTGACGGGATTGTCGTCTTTTTTCTATTCGTCCACTCTTATATTTCTAAGTATAAAATTTATCGATTAATATTCATTACTTTTACATCGTACTAACTTTACCTATCATGTTTTCAACTTTTCATTCCATATCTACTTACAACATCAAATTTATCTCATTTTTCTTGAAAAATAATTTCCACTTTTTCCTTTCGATTTCTCATAAAAGACAATTATTTTTTTTTTTTTGTTTTTAAAAAAAAAAGTCTTAAAACCAGTTTTAATTATTATTATTTTTTTAATTTAAGTTGTTAGAGTGACCAAATTTAATCTAAAGCAACTTTCCCTATTTGGTAGTTTTTCTAAACAGTACTATTCTCATGTACCATATTTATATTATAATCTTAAATCTTTGTTCCTCCACTTAAATGCCCAACACCATAACCAAATCAACCAAACAAAGCAGAAACTGCACGAACCGTAGGCAACTGTAACCGCACCCAAACCCAAAGCCCCTTTAAAGCTCACACACACACTCCGAGGTCTCATTGGACTGTACCACACACATTAATAAAAACATTGACCAAGTGGGCCGGGTTGTGGGCCCTAACTTCCACCGGGCCCAAAAGTCCAACAACATTCTATATAATCCCAACACACACCAAATTCTCATGCAAACAAAAACTGTTAAAAAATCTCAATCACAAATGCGCAACGGCAACGCGAGGATGGACCTCCTGTGGGCCGAGAAGGGCCCGAACGGCGAAATCCAGCTGCCGGAAAGCCCAAGGGGCCCGATGGAGTTTCTCTCTAGGTCGTGGAGCGCCTCGGCCCTCCAGGTCTCCAAGGCCCTCACGCCGGCGAATCTCTCCTCCTCGCTGGCCCTCCCGAAGTCCGGCGCCGGCGGGAGCGCCGTCGCCGCCGTCATACCGGAAAATCCCGCCGGAGAAGAGGAAGAGTCGGCGAAGCTCTCCGGGAACACGTTTTCGTTCGCTTCGTCGGCGACTTCTCAGCTTATCCTCGAGCGAATCATGTCCCAATCGGTAAAAAATTTTCGATTTTTTAATTTTTTTTATTTTGGTTTTTGTGTGCGGTATAGCGATTATAAGTGGAATTGTATGGAACTGTAGGAAATATCACCGTTGACGTCGGGAAGGCTGTCACATAGCAGTGGGCCTTTGAATGGGTGTCTTACTGAAGAAAATGAGAGCCCGCCGATTTCGCCGTCTGAGGAGTTTGAGGATGTCGTTAAGGTATTTTCTATTTTCTAATTTTCTATTTTTATTTTTTTATTTTTTAATTTTATTTTTTGTCATTTTTTTTTGTAGCTTCATAAAAATGCATGTATTTATTTGGTTGTTACTATATTTTATAAGTTTTGAGAGTTTTAAAAATACAAATATCACTTTATAGACTTATAGTAGAGCTATTAAACCAAGTTGAACCCATTTGTCGATTTGGCTCATTAGCTCGTGCTCGTTATTTACTCGTTCAGACTCGTTAGGTATACGAAAAATGAGATTTTTATATAATTTTCGAAAACAACACTTACTAATTAACTCCTTAATACTCGAATTTAAGTATCACGAGATCGAGCTCGATTCTGCTTTTTTCTTAGCTTTAAGTCTAACCATAAGACTTTGATAAATGATAATTATTTTTTTCTTTTGTAAACTATACAAAAAACGTATCTAAATTAGATATAGTGCAAGTTTGGAAGGTGATGATTAGTCAATGATGGGGTCTTTGTAGATTAGTAATAATAATAAAAACTCTTAATGTGTGGGGACCATTGTTTTCAGCTTTCACAAACGTTTTATTATTTGCGTAAAAGTGAAGAACAAAACCGCGCTTTTGTCATTCTCAATACTACACTTTTGTTTTGTTTATGGAAAAAAGGGCTCTTATCAGCCGACCCCAAAACACGCTTTTTTGACTTTATATTTTCCTTTGGGTCTCTCGCAAAATATATTTCACATGCAAAAAGGGAGTATTTTATTAGCTAGTAGAATGAAAAATAATAAAGAGGACAAAAGATATAATATAATTTAATTAGCTCAAGAGAACCAAAAAGAAAAAAAAAAATGGAATAAAGTATAGAGGACTTTATTTTATTTTATTTATTTTTTATTTTTTTTGCTCACAAACAAACAATTATATAATCTTTAAAAGATTTGGGCTGCCACTTTTATGGTTTCATATACTTTGCTAAAACATCTGAATTATAAGTTTAATGCCATCATTTATTTAGAATACAACATAACCTAACAAAATAGTTTTTGTTAGTGTTTCTATATTTTTCAAAAGAACAATATTTTGATTTTCTTTTTTCTATATGGAAAATAATGTTTCATTTTCCTAGAGCTACATGTGCAACGATAAGTGACGTTTGATGTAGTGATGTTAAACAAAAAAAGCTGCTCGGATAGGCTGAATTCACTAAGACGAGCTTGAGCTCGTTTAAAACTCGTTTAATTAACAAACTTGATAAACATGGTTTTTTTTTTACGTAATTTCTTGAACTTTTTAACGTAATTTGACTCGTTAAGGCTCGTTAATAAGCTGAGTTCGGGTCCGTTTATTGTCTTGTTAACTTCACTAGTCGAGTTCAGCTTAGGTTGAGCCTAGCTCGAGCAACTTGATTACAACTTTAATCAAAGGGCATTCATGTTGAGGTTGAGCCCATAGATTTGTCATTGGGAGTTGGTTTTAAAATAGAAGCTATTGGCATAGGTTTTGGCAGTGGCCCTCATAATGCCATTTTTTAGTGACTTGTCAATTTAACTCTATTACTCAAATGTTTCACCATTTTCATCTTAGTTAGATAGGCTGGCTAGCTATCACATTTACTGCAAATCAA